GACCTAGAGAAATGAACTTTTATCTAGAAAACTGTCCTTACCATAGCAGAAACAAACATTTTGAAACACTCTAAAACCAAAATGAAGCAACTGGTGGAATAAGAGATCTTGTGAATGACCTTCTCTCATTTATCTCCTCAAAGTGGTTATCCCTTAAAATGAGGCATAATAATAGAACCTACCTCACAAAGTCTTTGGAAGGATTAAATGAGATAATTAAGTGTAAGATGTTTTGCAAATAGAAAACCACATATTAATATTATCTATAGCTTACTGTATTTTTATTTACTTTATTAAATATTTCCCAATTACATTTTAACCTGATTCAGGCAGCACTCACACTACAGGGTCGCATATTATGACATCTCTGTGTTATATCACTTCTCCAGTATAATTAGTTCCTCATTTGTAGGCTGCTCATGCTAACCATATGACCCTAAACTTCGGTCCTTCAAAGGCTGTAATATTCTATGATTTGTTCCTATATAACATTGCTATTTCACCCTCAGAATGTGACCCAAAAATAAAATAAAATGAGAGAGACAGAGAGAGAGAGAGAGAGTATGTGTGTCCAAGAGTCTTTCTCTCCAAGTGGATTACTTTCTACTGAGGAAATATTGTACGGCATGTTCACAGATAAGTAAATTTAAAGCACATACAAAATAAATATGCATTTTTGGAGGGGAGGGAAGGTAGTCATTAACAACTGAGGAAATAACTGAGAAAATAAGTTATTTCCTCAGTTGTTAGTAAGCATCCTAAAGGAGGTAGTCTTTAAGTTTAGCTAACAGATGAGGTGAGGAAAGAGAGTATTCCAGGCATTTGGGAGATAGTCCATACCAAGGCTGGAACCAAATTGTGAAGGGCTTTAAATGTCAACTGAAGAAGTTCCTATTTCATCCTTAAGGCAATCAGAGGCTGCTGAAGCTTCTCGAGCAAGGAAGCAGAATAGTATGACACTTTACATTGTACACTTCAAAAATATCCATTTGGCACAATGCATTTGAGAAAGGAGAGATTTAAGATTGAACAATCAAGACACTATTGCAATAGTCTAGGGAAGTGGCAATGAGGGCATGTACTGGGGAGATTATGGTACGAAGAGAAAGAAGGTGATGGATGTGAGATATGTTGAGGACTTGCCAATTGATTAAGAGTGAAAAGTCAAGAACGATTTAGAGGTTGTGAATGTAAATGACTTTCTGAATGCTAGTACCCCTGACCAAAACAAGGAAGTTAGAAGGAGGGCTGGGTTTAAGGGGAAAGGTAATGAATTTGTCTGGGACACATTTAGTTTGAAATGACTATCATACATACAGTTAGAGATTTCTTGGAGGCAGTTGGAGATTTAACAAGGACAGATGACAGCTAAATAATTATCTTAGGCCCTGATCCTCTTGACACAGGGTTATCCTAAACTATCCTCCATCTTCATCATTTTCCATATTACTAAGTAGACATCAATGGATGTATGATCTCATTGATGGAGGTAACAACTCCACCAGTATAAGCCATAACCCACCTCCACTTTCCTATCCTTTTCTATTCTTATCTGATTCTCTAAAAAATATCATAGGAGATCTACCCAACTACAGGAAACCCAAAGGGAAATGACAAGTCTAAATGAGCTCCTGATTATTACCAATGATGATTTGCTTGTGAGAAACTGGTTAAATGATATCTTAAAGGAGATGTATAATTAGAAAAGGAGGTGGGCTCATCAGATAATAAGACCAAGGAATAGATAGATAATGAATAGTACAAGTAATTCAATTATGCGTGCAAACTGTTTAAAGACCTAGAGGAAGGCCTCCAATGCCTTAGGTAGTTCTCTGAAATGAAAGGACAAGAATTATATTCCTTAGATTATATATTCAAAAGTCTATTAAAAATAACATTTTCCAAGAAATGTATACTCTTAAGAATATAAGTTTTTCAGCATGATTTCAGAAAAATCTGGAACGACTTACATGAACTGATACAAAGTAAAGTCATCAGAATCAAGAGAATGTTGTGCACAATAACAGCAATATCGTACAATGAAGAACCGTGAATGACTTAGCTATTCAGGGCAACACAATGATATAAAACATTCCCAGAGAACTAAGGATGAAGCATACTATCTGCCTCCAGAGAAAGAACTAATATTGTCTGAACACAGATTGAAGTATGCTATTTTTCACTTTTTTTACTTCATTCTTTTTCTTTTATTTGAGGCATCTTATACAAAATGACTAATATGGAAATGTTCTGTATGACTGTATACATATAACCTGTATCTGATTACTACTTACTGACCCAGGGAGAGGGGAAGGAAGAGAGGGAGGGATAAAATTAGGAATGCATTGTCTATTATTATTAACATAAAGTGTTAAAAATTGTTTTAACATGTAATTGGGGGAAAATAAAATATAATAAACTTTAAAAACATTTAAGTTTTTGTTACTATTTTGAAGGTAGTTTGATATTGTTAGAAAAAGCACTGAAATAGAAGGGCCAAAAAAATAAGAGTTTAGAATAGGTGCCAAGATAAAAGATAAACAATGTTCTGAATAGGGCAAACATATTCCTGTGCAATTAAATACAAGTCCTGATTGGAACTAATTTTACTTTGAACAAGATCCTTATGTGGCAATTAGTATAATTAAAAATTATAGATGGAGAAATTGAGACAGAGACTTAAGCTATTAGGTCACGTAGCAAATTAGTAGTAAAATAAATCAATAAGCATTTATTGAATGCAGAATGAGGACTAAAACCTAATTTAGGTTTTAGTGGATCATCATGGATCCACTCATGGATTATCATATCTATGCCCAAATAATTTATACAAAATAAAATATGATAAGAATACAACAATAAAACATATAAAAGAGATGCAAAACAAATAATTGTTTGAATTCTGAAAAGCAGGGAAAGCTATTACCCCAAGTGGAAGATCAAGGAAATCTTTATGTGAGTTATGTAGCTAAGCTGAACTTTACATGATACAGGAGATTTAAACATGTAGAACATTCCAGCTGTGGAAACTAGAGTGAACAGAGGTAGCAAAGTATTAGGATTTATATAAAATAAGTGATGAGGAGTGAGTGGAAGAGAGAGTTGGAAATACTAGGGTGAGAGTTTGTGGAGGATCTTATGTGGCAAGTTTATCTGATAAATAATGAGGATACACTGAAGGGTTTTAAGCAGATGAATAACTAGTTTCCCCCTACAATTTTTAATTATACTAACTCCCCCATAAGGATTTTGCTCAAAGTATAATTAATTTCAATCAGAACTTGTATTTTAATTGCACAAAAAGGGATGATAAAACTATTTTTAATTTAAATAAGTCTCAAATATTATTTAATCTCCAAAGGAATTAATACCAGTTGTTAAATTTAACAAACATGAAACAGTAAAACAACTTCGTGTCAGCTGCTTAATTGACTGTCAAAAACAAGTTTTTAGTTCTGTAACAAAAAAAAGGGAAAGGACCAAGCCTATGATTTCACTGGTAGGGAGCTCAACAAAGAGGAAAATTCTTCTACTAATGCAAGTGGTACAAGTTATGTGATACTTCTCTGAAATACTTAATATTATGTCATATTATCTAATATTTCCTTAAAGTATTAAATAAATTTTAGTATTGTTATTGCAATAACATAACCTATTTAATCAAATATCTACCACTACTACCTTTAATGTAATGTAAATTTAAATCAGAAGACAGTACATGATATAACAAAAGCTCTATAGTGGATAACAGAATAATAAGTGTGTTTCAATGAAATAAAATTATGCTTTTATTTGTTAAGAAAATGAGACTAACTGCAAAAGCAGAATGTAATGATTCTATGAGACTTAAACAAATTTGCTTAACTATTTTCAAAAAAACACATAGCGTAAAAGGATTTGTCTTGGTGCGTGTTGGATAGTGTCTATTGTATCAAAAGAACAACAATATTTTTTAAACTTTAAATAACTAAATAGAGAACATTAAGATAAAAATTAGGATAATAACACAAATCATCAAAATACTTTTGTTGATTCTAAAAAGTTCACTGCTGCCAAAACAATCTTCTTAATATTAATATTCTCCTATAACACCGTATGACTGCAAATCACAGAACATCATGAACTCAGAAGAATAAAAATTACAGGAGGCCCATGAGCAATGAAAAAGTACATTCATAGTGGATGTATGTAGGATGTTACCAACATCACTCACAAATAAAAACCAATGCATGAGAGACATCATTAAGGACTTTTATTACCAGAAAATTATTTAGGCAGGTCATATAGTAAAGTAAGGAATAACAGACAGCTTGTTCATTATATAGATATCCTTTAAATATTAAAATAACCATAGGTAACCCTCAGTGTCATTACATAAACTATTTATGGAGTATTTTTAAAAAGAAATAGATGAAAATCACAAAGAATAAGAATGCAAGTAGAGGCTGCAATCTACCTGAGATGGAGTATATCCCAAGTTGAAAGACTTATCTAAATTATATATTCAAGTCTAATTTGAGAATTTTGTGCAAGATCAGTTTTAGTTTCTGGTAATGCTCAAGGGTTCATTTTTATCTCCAACCTAATTGGAAGGGAGATTCTAGTCCAGACAGTAAAGTCTACTTATTTAGATAAGTACTAGAGAAAAAAAATACCAGCTCACCAATTCAGTATGTATAGTTAAGAGAACAGTATTTTGAACAGTATGAAAAGGTTTGCATTTTCACACATCCAACTTAATATCCTCAACCATATTTTTCCATTAGAATAAATTATATTTTGAATATTACTGTTATTACCAGGACTTACTCACTGTTTTAACATAGGTAAATGCTTTTATAGCACAAGCGATTTTTCATTGTACTGAAAAGATTTCTGTGAAAAAGGCAAGAGCAATTAAAAATTTAAGTCAAACAATATTGATTTTTTTAAATGGCTGAATGAAAGTTTACTGAAGAAATAAATGTGTATGAGTTTCAAACACTTTTGCTCTTACTTACATGCCACTTCCAGAGATGCATTGCGACTCATTGCCTCACCAAGATAGTTCCTTGCCACACACACATAGTTTCCTTCATCAGGCTTGCTTCTACGTCCATGCACAATACGCAAGAAAAATAAAGATCCACTGGGCAGCAGCATGCGGTGGGACCGGGGATCATCTTTGTCAGTTTCCACCCTCTCACCATCTCTATACCACTCTATAGTGGGAGTTGGCCTGCCTTCAGCTTTGCAGTTTAAAGTTGTGGGCTCTCCTTTAGAGACAATAACATCTGAAGGATGTTCAACAATCCTGGGAGGAAAATCTTCCTGGCGAAGACGTGATCCTAAAAACACAAAACAGGAAGAAAAATTCTTACATTTTTAATTTTGTCCTTATCTGGTTTCTCTTTTTCTATAACTATAATGTACTGAATCTAAACCATTCATTCACTTATTCGTTCTTTCAACAAAACACACTGAATCTGGATATAAAATTTGTCTTATCATAGAAAATTAAATACATAAAAAGACATCTCGAACAACTGATCTAATCCAATCTCATTCATTTTGCTTCTTCAATGAATTAATTACCTAATGTTTTTGATAAAAATAACTATTAAGATACTCCTCAACATATAAATGTTCCAGACACACATCTTTGTTTCACATCCTTGATATTCCACACTGGGAAATGCCCCAAAGGACTTCCAGGTAGGGTCACCTGTCTATAAAGCAGGCATAATTTCCAATCCTATCTATTTTCATAGTGAAGGCCTGATTACCTACTGCCCATCTGAATATTACAAGATCCACAAGGACTAAGTCTTCTTATACACATTTTTTCCTACTTTACTAATTCACAATTCATACCAAGCCACATTAGTCTTCTTCAGGTAGAGAAAGATTCATGTTATCCATCTCCTTAAAACCCTTTAGCGTATCCTCATTATTTACCAAATAAACTTGCCACAGAAGATCCTCCACAATCTCTCACCCTAATATTTCCAACACCTACTCTATCTCCTCTTTTCCCATTCACTCTTCTTCACTCATTTTACATAAATCCTAATACTTTGCTACCTCTGTTCACCCTAGTTTCCGCATCTGGAATTCTCGACATGTTTAAATCTCCTGTATCATTTAAAGTCCAGTTTAGCTATATAACTCACCTAATTGCCTTGATCCTCCAATTAGGGTAATAGCTTTCCCTGCTTTTCAGAATTCAAATAATTATTTCTTTTGGATCTCTTTCATATGCTTTGTTGTTGTGTTCTATGCTTATCATGTATTATTTTGTGTAAGTTATTTGGAGATAGATATGATGATCCATCAAATTAGAGACAGTATCTTCTCTGATTTTTGCTTCTCCTCCAGCTTCTAATTAGCATGTTATATTAAAGAATACTTGTTGAAATGAGATTTGTTAATATGGCCTGTATATTCAAAAATGGAGACTATCTGTACTTAGGTGCAGCCCAATTTAAATGAAGTAATCTTACAGAGATGGGACTCAAGTTAGTGATGTCATGTGTATCATGGATACCTAATATAGTCTGGAGTGATTCAGCTTTATTCTCCCATTACCAATAACAGCTCTAAAATACTTCCTTAGTCCATGACTCCTTCCACCAAAGAAATGATGAACTGTCTATAACTTAGGAGATAAGTCTTACAGAGGTACCCATGGTTAAGTGACTTACCCATGATCACATAGGTAGTATGTGTCAGAGGCAGAATTTTAACACACATCTTCCTGACTTCCAGCACTCTATCTTATGTAGCATTATGCCTGCTGCTCTCTCCTTTTCTCCTCCTCTTTCTTCCTCTCTCTGTCGGTCTCTGTCTCTGTCTCTCTTTATAACCAACTCTCATTTGATCTCAGACACTCAGCATTTATAGCCCAGGTAGCTAGATGTTTGAATAACATAATATCAACTTGGATAGTTGACTATTTAAGAATAAAGTTGCTCTAATGGGGGTAAATTATTTAATAAAAATCAAACATATGATTCTGCTCAATAAAGATGGAAAGATATTAAACTTTTTAAGCTTCAGAAGTGATTATATTTAAAGTAACCTGAGATACAGTTCTTTTTCCTTCTAAATTTGAAAAGGTTCCAATAACTTCATTTGAAATATAAACATACATAATTTTAAGCAATTTATTGTATATTTACTATTGTAACAGTCTAGAAACATGTCCTCTAAGAATTTACTTCTGATAATCATTATAGTTCCAAAGATGTTATGGTAAAGGCAGAGACCTGCCTGAGCTCTCCCAAACTCCCCTCCAAACAAATTTAAAATAAAGCCTGAAAAGAAATTCTGAAGTGGCAGAACCAGCAAAAAAAATGGGGTGAAACAATTCTCCAGCCCAAAATAACTTAAAAGGTCTACAGGAAAGGTCAATCTCACTGGGGTGAGAGTTAAAGGCGTAGGTAAGTGGTTAAGCGTTTAACAACAGGACACACCCAGGCAAGCCAGCAGCAGGCCTTGTGAGCAACTGGGTCAGCACTAGAGGTTTCTGAAATCCTCAGATAACTGGTCAGAAGGAGATTATTATTTGCCGGCACTGGTGTAATACTCTATTGCACTGCCCATACACTGTTCTGGTGGCAATCCCAGAGCAAAAAGCAACACTACAACACTGGAGAGTATGGCCATGGGTGAATGAGGATGCTGGTTGCAGTAGTGCTTGTGGTCACTAACAGACCAGAGTACAGGCCAGGAGAGCACTGATGATGGCACTCCTTAGATCATACCATCGTGGAAGACCTGAAAACTTCAGACCCCAGAACTAGCTCTGAAAACAGCAGAATGAAAAACCAGAAGATTGGGAGAGTGCCCTCACTACCCCAGGAACAGAGCCCAACTTTAACATAAAGTTAAAAGTCAAGAAATCATCTAGTAAAATGAACAAACCACCAAAAAAGAACCTAACCACAGGTAGTTACTATGGTGAAAGGGAAGATTAAAACACAAACTCAGAAAAAGAAAACAAAGTCAAAATGGCTCCATCCTAAGAAAATGTGAATTGCTCTTAGGCTGCCCAAAAAAAAAAAAGAATTCCTGCAAGAGCTCAAAAAAGTTTTAAAAATCAATAAATGAGGTAAAGGAAAAATTGGGGAAAGAAATGAGTGACGCAAGAAAATCATGAAAAAAAAAGTCAACAACTTGATAAGAACCACAAAAAATGTAAAGGAAAATTTCATCTTAAAAAACAAAATAGGCTAAATGGTAAAAAGAGGCATGAAAACCCACTGAAGAGAACTCCTTAAAATTAGAATTGGTGAAATGGAAAAAAAAAAGATACACAGAAATTCACTGAAGACAAGAACTCCTTAAAAAATTGAATTGGCCAAATGGAAAAAGAGGTGCAAAAGTTCACTGAAGAAAATAATTCCCTAAAAATTAGAATTGGGCAAGTGGAATCTAATGGTTCCATGAGACATTAAGAAACAGTACAACAAAAACAAAAGAAGAAAAAAAGAAGAAAATGTGAAATATTTCAATGGGAAAATAAATGACATAGAAAATAGATCAAGAAGAAAAAAATTTAACAATTACTGGACTACCTAAAAGCCATGATTTAAAAAAAAAAGTACCTAGACATCAAATTCCAAGAAAATGTTAAGAAAAACTGCCCTCCTATCTTAGATCCAAAGGGTAAAATAGAAATTGAAAGATTCCATCAATCATCTCCTAAAAAAGATCCCAAAATGAAAAGTCTCAGGAAATTCTAGCCAAACTCCAGAGCAACCAAGTCAAGGAGAAAATATTGCAAGTATGCAGAGAGAAATAATTCAAATACTGTAGAACCACAGTCAGAATAACATAAGATTTAGCAGCTTCTACATTAAGGATCAGGGGTCTTGGAATGTGATATTCCAGAGGATAGTATCCAGTGAAATAGAGTATTTTCAAGCATTCTTGATGAAAATTCCAGAGCTGAAAAGAAAATTTGACTTTGAAACACAAGACAAGGGAAGGTAAACAGGAAAGAGAAATCATAAGGGATTCAATAATGTTAAATTGTTTACATTCCTACACAGGAAGATAATACTTGTAACTCCTAAGAACTTTATTATTATTAAAGCACTTAGAAGTGTATGTAGACAGAGGGAATGGGGGTGAGTTGAACATGATGGGATGATATCTAAAAAAATGAAATTAAGGTGTAAGAAAGAGAAACACACTGGGAGACAGGGAAAGGAAGAGATAAAATGGGGTGAATTATCTCACATAAAAAAAGGTTTGTAAGAACTTTTACAGTAGAAGGGAAGATGGGGTAGGTGGGGAGTAACACATGAACTTCATTCTCATAGGAACTGGCACAACAAGAATAGGTAAAATACACACATTTGGGTATAAAAATATCTTACCCTATAGAAAAGTAGGAGGGGAAGGGGATAAGAGAAGGGGACAGGCTAACAGAAAGAAGGGCACATTGGAGGAGGTAATAGTCAGAAGCAAAACATTTTTGAGGATGGACACAGTGAAAGGAGAGAGAAAATTGGATAAACAGAGGGGAAATAGGATGAAGGAAAATGCATAGTAATCATAATCATGGAAAAAAATGTTCACAGCAAGTTCTCTTATAAAAGCCTCAATACATAGAGAACTGAGTCAAATCGATAAGAATACAAGTCATTTTCCAATTGACAAATGGTCAAAGGGTATGTCAAAGGTAGTTTTCAGAAGAAGAAATCAAAATTATTTAGTCATGAAAAGTGCTCTAAATCACTATTGTTTAGAGAAATGCAAATTAAAACAATCTGAGGTACCACATCATACCCATCAGATTTTTTAATCTGACAGAAAAGGAAAGTGGCAAATGTTGAAGGGGATGTGGGAAAATTGAGACACTAAAGCACTGTTGGTAGAGTTGTGAACTGATCCAATCATTCTGGAGAGCAATTTGGAACTATATCGACAAGGCTATAAAACTATGCACACCCTCTGACCCAGCAATTCCACTACCAGATTTGTATCTGAGATTTAAAAAAAAAAAAAGAAAAAAGGACCTCTATGTACAAAAATATTTATATCAGCCCTCTTTGTGGTGGCAAAGAATTGGAAATCAAGGGAATGTCCATCAGTTAGGGGATGGCTGAATTAGGTGTGGTATATAACTGTGATGGAATACTATTGTGCTATAAGAAATGATAAGCAGGGGCAGCCAGATGGTGCAGTGGGTAGAGCCTGACCCTGATTCAGGAAGACCTAAATTCAAATCTGGCCTCATATACTTGACGATTACTAGCTGTGTGACCCTGAGCAGGTCACTTCAACACATTGTCTTGCCAAAAAAAAAAAATGATGAGCAGCATACCTTGAGAAAAAC